TATATATATATATATATATATATATATATATATATATATATATATATAAAGATTGTAACATCATATATATATTTTCTTAACAGTACAGGTAAAAAAACTCCCAAATAACAGGATGACGTCAAATGATGGATTAGTGACGCATTAATGACGTCTTTAATGTCATTAATATGTCACTGAAATGTTATTTGATATCATCACGTTTGCTGGCTTTACATTTCACAGTGTGAACTTTTGGTCCAGATTCGGAATCAATACCAGATTGTTTGTGCCACACACTGTTAGATACAATATAAATTAATCTATAATTTTTTTCATTATTTTCTTTATATTATATGTAGGTAATATATTCTTAAACAAAATTCCATTACATTTTGCAGATTTATTGATGCATCAGTATGCACAAAGATTAATCTCGCTCTAATCGGTTTTTCTGGTCATTCTACATGCAAAAATATTAAGTGTGATTGTCGAAAAGTTCACGAGACATTTCATATCTTGTACTGAAAAGTATCAGAATAAAACATTTCTGAAAGTATTCACTTTTTGATGATTTTAGTTCCGTACTTTTATACGCAGAATGATCAGAGGAGTCGATTTATATTAAAAAGAAGCATACGATTTCATTTAAAAATTAAATACGGTCGCATCTTGCAAATATTCGAAAAACTATAATTGCAGAAAGATAAATCATACTAAACAATGGAAGCTTTTCCTTTATCACCTTTTTACCTCGATTTTGGAAAGTGCCACCAGCCGGTTCCTAGGATTATCCAATATAACGCACGCATGTAACACTACCGATTGCGCCACAGGTTTGTTCAACGGCGCCATCCTGCAGAGCGGAAGCGCGATGAGCACATGGGCGATATCTTACAATCCCCGGGAACTAGCTTTCAAATTGGGAGAGAAGCTGGACATCGAGACCAGCGATTCCGCCGAATTGGTCGCCAAGCTCGCCGAGTTCACCCCAAAAGAGCTGATCTCGGCTAGCGAGGAATTAATGAAGACTGAGGTATGGCACGTCAATAATGACATGACGTCAATAATGCTGGCCGTCGCTCCGACTCGTGCTTTCTACCGTCATTCAATAAACGAGTAGTATGTGGGATTAATTGAGTTTAGAGACTCGTTATCGAGGCATAAGAGTCGATGTCGTGCTCACAGAGCTTGACGATACGAGAAACAACATGTTTCATGTGAATATTACGCTAATGAATACAGCGCGCATATCGACAATTACGTTGGCTGCATAATTGCAGAATACGATGAACGGTCGTTTTGCGGTGTTCCTTCCGTCGGTCGAGGCTGATCTAGGACAAGAAGTGTTCCTGCCCGCCGATCCGTGGACGCTTCTCAAGTCCGGAAAAATCGCCGATGTGCCTGTTATGGCTGGAATCACCGCCGACGAGAGCGCCTTCTACGTGCAGAGTAATTGTCGAGACGTTGTTGTTACGGTAGTCATGCGTGTGTGAACGTTACGTAGGCGACACCGAAATGTTTGTTTTCAGTGATGCTCGGTAATATCGATCAAATGAATGAGCACTTCGAGAACTTCCTACCTGATGACTTAAACGTAACCGACGCCGGGCAGAGGAACCAACTAGGTGAAAGCTTGAAGAGCTTCTACTTCGACGATAAGTCGATCTCCACGGATACCACGAAAGAGTTCATGATGGTAAATACTTAACGTTAATGTAGTCCCGCTGTAGCGAGAAACTTGGAGCTGAGCGGCGCGCGCGAGGTTAACGACGTTCATGTTAAAACTGTTTGTGCATTTTAGATGTTGGACGACATCATGTTTGACGCCGCGACCGCGCTCAGTTTAGAGATATTAAGCTCCCGAATCTCGGCGCCAATTTACGAATATATATTCTCTTACGAAGCTCCGTTCGGCATGTTGAAAAGTCTATTCCACGTGGAAGACGGTGAGTTACGAGCCGCACGTCGTGAAGGAACTTGCACCCTCTCTGTATCGCGACGCGAACGGCGGATCTTGCACTGCGGAAGAAGACCGCGGTCTAAGTAGACTCTCTTTTATTTAATCTTCCTTGGCCTTGATTTTCTAATATACAAAAATTGGTGCTCGGTCTCTCTCTTCTTCTCTCTGGGAGACTGATTTCGAAGTAATGGAAATGGCATATATTAAAAGTTTGCTTTTGGCATGAAATTTGGTTTTTAGATAAAGTGCTCGTGAACGATAACGACTTATAGTTTCGGGGAAACGTTGATTATGTGTCTCGTCAGTTGGAAAACTGATATACAGAGAGAATTTTATCGTAAAAATTATTATAGAATTTTGTAACAATTTTGTAAGAATTTTGTAAGAACAGATCGACATTCTGTTATAATTGAATATCTATTCATTCTACATATGCTACTTATATTTTAGGAACTGAAATGTGCTATTGAATATTTTTTATTTCTATCCTGCAAATGCCGACTAACGGTAACATTACATCAAAGTTACAATGTCCCGCTCAACATTAAATGAATCCAATATAACACGTGTGTTATGTAATAGTTACATTCCCTGCTTAAAATGTTGGATAGAAAATGATAGAAAATTTGTCTATCATATGTATGGTGATTTTGATTCACATATTTCACAACTCATTTATGAAATTTTGTAAGTGAATTCATATACCATGTATTGTATATGATTGATAAATATAAACTAATTATACCAACTTTCATATTCAATATGAAAAGAGTAGTATCACAAGACATGATTAAACTACATAGATATTCTTTTAATTTTTATCTGACCATTTTGAAACAATCATTATAAGTAGAATTATTATGAAAGAATATTATAAGTAATTTATTATAAAATAATAATAAATACATAATGCAATATTTACTATGATTCAGAAATATCAATTTATTATACAAACATCAATATTCAAGGTAATTGAAAAGAATAGTATCATAAAATATGATTAAAATATATAGAAAGTGTCTATGTTGTAAGCTTCGGTGCATGATAAGTCGTATAAATCAATATAGAAATTCTATCCATTTCAATCTTACCCAATCATGTTCTATCAAATATTTTAAGCAGGATTGTTGAATGGGGAATATTGACGTAATGTTACCGTTAGTTGACATTTGTTGGACAGTTAATGTGTTATTAAAAAATTTGCCATGTTTCTAAATTACGTTCCTTAGCAAGATAAGTCTTATTCTTTCTTTGATTAATCTTAATCTATTCCTGCACTACTAATAATAATAATAACTAACAGGAAGAAGGAGCACAGCTCTTGCAAGAAGAGTTGCCTAACATTCAGACTTAGAAATTCAATTCATTGTGCCATTCTCGCATCATTTGTCGGTTAATTTTGTGCTTCTCCGAAGGAAGAGCAGATCTCCCTGTATTACTAGAAACATAATAAAATTGAAAAGAATTTATATAAAAATACAACTAATATTTTCTCTGTGTACGCGAGTCAAGGAAGGTTAAATCTGTGTTTATCTGTATAACTATTGGCTGCGCTGCAAAAAAAGATCGCAGTCTGAGTAAATTCTGTTTTTATGGAGATATATTTATCTATATAACCGTCCCTTCAAACTACAGGTGTCGCCCACGGTGACGAAATGACTTATGAATTTTATTCCAATGCACTAAAAAATCTGCCGCAGAGTGGTTCGCCCGCGGAGAAGATAATGCGTATCTTTACCACGTTGTTGGCAAACTTTGCGAAAGACGGGTATGTCTTGACAGTCCTCGGTCAAAATCGACATATTACGAGAGAAATGTAAGTTGAGAAACTATAGAATTGTAATAATTTCAGAAATCCCACGTCACAGTTGGACGATAACGTAAACGTAAATTGGGAGCCCAAAGGTACAGATGATAACTATATGAATATTAATGAAGAATTGAAGATGGAGAAAGGTCTACTAAAAAACAGGATGGAGTTTTGGAAGAGTTTGTACAGAAATGTTCTCGGCTGAATGTACGCAAATGTATCAACTCATGCGCGTCGCATACGAATGTATTAACTAATCAAGTGCGGGAATAATAAATAATGATATGATTGATTATATCTATTGGTATATCTTACGTGTATCACATACATATATGCACACATATACACATTAATAATATGCATCATAGTAATGTGTAAAAAGATTGTGCTAATGTATTGTGTAAATATATCTGTATAATAAAATGTATCAATGGGGAAAGCACTTGTGAGAGGCTCGTCGCGCAAGAAAAGTATCGGGAAACGACGTGGTTGATTAACTCCGCGTTGGGCTGTAAAGCATTTAATTAAAACGAGCGATTAAAGTCCCCAAACTTGATATTAATTGTTAGCTGACATATAAACAGGAAAAAATATACACGTCCCATTTTCTTACGCAAGTATCGGCATTGAAATTTTCCAAGATTTTCCTACATTAATTTCCCACATGTATTTCAATCAGAATACCCAAATCTACCCCAAAATCTATTCCAATACCAATTGAGAACTCTATTATCTTGTCCTAAACATGAGTTCTCTGTCTAGAATCAAAACGGGAAGCCCATTGGGACTCATGCTTTTTCTCAATCAGAATGATGTTGATTTAAGATATCAAACAGGGAGTTCCGTTTGAATTTTTATAGCAACTATATTCAATTATAGTATATTCAATAGAATAAAAGATAAAACATTAAGTTATTTTGTTAGGTATATTGCTAAGTAATAAGATTATTTGGTAAGTCAACATATGTTTTGTTTAATTCTAATATAAACTGAAAACCAGGCAGAATAATGAGGAAACTTTGGATTTCCCACTTAGAATTGCATGTTTGAAACATTATACTTTTAATCTCATTTTAATAGAAATTTTGCAAAATTAAAACGCTAAAAGATCTTCCCCGATATAGCATAGATTTTGTTTAGAATGTTTAAATTTGTTTCAAAATTTGTTATCTCTCTGCAATACCAATTGGGAATCCCATTCTCTTGTTCTAAACATGGCTACTCTGTTTTTCCATGCGAATAACGTAGATGTACTTTTATGGGCTCAAATAGGAAGTTCTATTTTCATGCCAATTATTAAATTCGATACAATAAAAAAATGTAACACTGAGTATTTTACTGAATAGTGAAATTATTTCAGGAAAGTTCAGCACTTAGAATCACACGTTTGAAATGCTTCTAACCAAAATTTACAGTTATTTTGAGTGATCAGGCCGGATCCTAATTACATTTTTTATACGGGACCAAAATCCATATTGACGAATCGAATTAGATTCCAATTAAGGTAAATGTTCCAATAATTGAACAATTGGTATTGCAGAGGGATAACAAATTTTGAAACAAATTTAAACATTCTAAACAAAATCTATGCTATATCGGGGAAGATCTTTATCGTTTTAATTTTGCAAAATTTCTATTAAAATGAGATTAAAAGTGTAATGTTTCAAACATGCAATTCTAAGTAGGAAATCCAAAGTTTCCTCATTATTCTGCCTGGTTTTCAGTTTATATTATAATAGAATTAAACAAAACATATGTTGACTTACCAAATAATCTTATTATTTAGCAATATACCTAACAAAATAACTTAATGTTTTATTTCGATGAATGTTTAATCATTAGTTAATACATAAACTAATCTATTGTCAATCATTGAGACATTGCTCAATTACTGGAACATTTACCTTAATTGGAATCTAATTCGACTCGTCAATATGGATTTTGGTCCCGTATAAAAAATGTAATTAGGATCCGGCCTGATCACTCAAAATAACTGTAGATTTTGGTTAGAAGCATTTCAAACATGTGATTCCCAATTGGTATTGCAGAGGGATAACACATTGCAAATTGGCAGAAACAAATATCCTTCAGTAAAATCTCAAAAATTTTGTATAGAAATGTCAAATATAAATCTATTGTTAATGTATTAATAATTGCGAAATTGTTCAATTACTAGGACATTTATCTTAGATCCCAAGAAATTTTTTATACGAGCATCGTGCAATGTCAGGAAATATTTTTAACCCGGGAGTGAGCGCGTATCGGTCATTTCCCCTTACTTTTTCGTTTTCCACTTATATCATCTAATCTATTGACTATCGTATTTTTGCTTTTACGTAAATTTTCTTTGATGTTTTCTCGTATAGCATGGAAAGGTAGACGCGCTTATTTCTATTATATATTCTTGATTCAATAACGATATTATTAAAATTAATACTTGAATTATTGAAACAATACATAATGTGATAATTTTAATATTGCCATTAAATCAAGAAGATTTCTCTATTTCTAAATTTATCAAATAAATTTTTAAGTTTATTAAATCAATGTTTAAGTTAATCAAAGTAAAATGAGAGAAGCAAGAAATTCTTATTTTATTTTATTAAATTAAAAGAATGTAATTTTTTACTAATGCAGTTAAAATAAAAATATTATAATTTTATTTTTAATAAATTCACATATGTATAAAGTTTAATATTTCCTAAACATATTAGATATAGAAATGGTAAAGAGAAAAAAGATGGAAAAAAGAAGAAATAGTGATATAATAAAATTATTTCCTTCAATTATTATGTCTCTTTTAATAACTGGATTAGTAATTTATTAATTATTACATATATGTGCTTAAATATTTTCGGTCGAAACGACCAACACGCGCCCGCTCCCGGGTTAAAGTCGCAGCGCGATTCTAGGCGATATTGCTCATCTTCACGCACTCGTCGGCGTTACAGCTAGCGTCCTTCGCGGTAAGTGAAATCGCTAAAGGGGGAACATGTCAGGTCCGTGTTTGAAATAGCGGAATGTTGCGGGGTGGAATGTTGATACGACTCGGGGTAGAGCCTTAGCAGTTGGTTACCGCGGTCGAGATTGGCAATTTGTTGTATCCTGCGGCCTCGCGCTACCCACGCTCGCAGGTATCTCTCCTCGCGGCGGCCGAGATATATCTGGCGTGCGCGGCCAGTCACGCACGTACGGCCTCGCACGCGTACCGTTACGCGCGCGCCATGAACGAACGAGCGACCTAACCCACACGAGCCCCCGACGTATCGGATGAAAGGAAAATTTATGCCTTGTCAGAGCGTTACGAGCCAAATGGTAACAAATAGGGCCAGCCGCCGCCGCCGCTGCCGCCACCACCGCCACCGGCAAGAAACTCTTCTGTCGCTATCGCGTCGAGTTCGCGGCGCGGCGCGCGCTATACGGTATACCGTAAACAATTCGCGAATAATCACGCGGAATGAGAATTATTGCGGTGAGCGCGCCACGCCGCGCCTTTGCAGCTGTTGCTCTCGCGCCGTATACCGCCTATATCCTTTTTCATACGGCACCGCGGAAAGTTTTCGTATAACGAGGTGAAACCGCCCAGCGCTGTGAGTTCGCGAACGAAATTACGCGCTTGTTTCGGCGAACGAATAAGCGGCGAACTTTTGTGCGCCAAATGCGGCGAGACCGGTTCCGGTCGCGGCGCGGCCTGTCCGCGCGCTGACGGCATGAATGAGAAGGAATAAACGAACGAGCGAACGGACGCGAAACGATCGGCGCTATCTCGCGAAAATACGCCTCTCTGTACGCCTCTCTGCGCGTCGCTAAACTATAATCTCGATAGGCTAAGGTCGCTTCTCTGTCATCGCTATGAATTGGATGACGTAACGCGAAAACACACGGCGGAAGTGAACTTGAATGCGTCGTGGCGGTTGTTTTTTCCAAACACGCACGCGAGAGGTCACGCGGAACGCGCGTAGAGGAAGATAAAAGTACCAATTCTCGAGAACATACTTAATCGTGGACATTCTTATTGTTTTGGTCCTTAAATATGAACGTTCAAATATTCAATATATGTATTTGATATATGTATTTCAAAAATACATATATTGAATGTTAATATAATATCTGATAATGACATAGAAAACCAGGAAAAGTTGCTTTTTAAAAATGTAACTAGTTACAGTTATAGTATGGTCGAGTTTTTTAATTCATTGATGGATCCATCGCATGATGCGCAAATGCAATGTTTCGCTGTATTTACGCATCATGCATAGGATCCATCGATGAATTAAAAAACTCGCCTTTTCTCTTGCTGAAAATGTAGCTAGTTACAGTTACAAATTACTGGTTATGAAAAGTAATTGTTACTGGTTATGAAAAGTAATAGTCGTTATAGTTATAGTTATTCAAAAAGTAACGAGTCGTTATTTTTAAGTTACTTTCTTGAAATTATTATTTTAAATGCAAAAATCTTATATTTTAACCTTTACTAAAATGTAAGAATTGAATTTTATAATTAATATCTGTCATATTAATTAGTCTATCCACTTAATAAATTTTAAATCTGTACTTAACATAATAAAAATTTAATAATAGTCTTGTAGATGTAAAAGAATTTAAACATATGCTCCATAAATACGTTGATAAATTTATTAAATTAACATACGATTACTATATAATTTTAATTTTACTTTACATTTCCCAAATAACTATTAAAGTAACTGTTAAAAAAGTTAATAGTTACCAAAAATAAGTAACTAAGTTACAGTTACAAGTGGGAAAAAAGTAATTAAATTAAGTTACAGTTATCGAAAAAATGTAACTGTAACTGTAACTTCGTTACAAATAACGAGTTACTTCCAAACCCTGTAAAACATCCATATACATGTAGATCAGATTACACTAAACAAAAAAGTCCTGTACAATTTTGCAAATAACTACTGTGTCGATAACACAGAGACGATCGTCACTAACACTATAACGCCATTCTTTTTTTGTATACATACAAAACTTATGTAAATGAGTATTGCTTTGTTTTACCATATTCAGCGGAAAACTTAACCACGTATGTGTAGAAATCTTCTTGCAAACTTCTCTGATATTCTTAAGCTTGCAAAATTAAATACGAGGTACAACAATGTTGTTCAAAATTTTTCTATGTGGAGTGTCCACATTCGGTATGTACAAACTACGAATCTTTTAGATTAGACAAATATTATGCTAACTGACAACTTGAGATTTCACATAAAATTTTTTTTGTTTTAGTTACATATTGAGCAGTGCTTATTTTTGCACGTACTTTTATGGCGTAAAAGCATTTGTAATTCTGTAGAACCAATACGACGTAAACTTTGTAAAAAAATATAAGTATTCTTTCGGCAAAGTTTTCAGTTTCAGCATCTTCTTAACGACACAGGACAGTTATCTTGTAAAATATGTTGATAATACATACCAAAAGTATACTAGGGCGTATACTAGGTATCTACACTGAGAGAAAAATATAGTTGCTTTTGACATCAACTATACTTTTTTGTGATTTTAACCAGAAAAATAATGAAAAGAACCATCATTCTAATAACACTTATTAAAACAATGGTTCTTCCAATTA